GTGCAAGATTGAGGAACCAAAGGGATTCAAACTTGAGTTTTTCTTCGATCAGAACCCTTACTTCAAAAACGCCCTATTAACAAAGGCATATCACATGATTGATGAAGATGAGCCTCTGCTTGAGAAGGCTATTGGGTAATTTTTTCATACCTATATTTTATTGTAACATATCATTATTTTGTTATGCGATGCTTGTAAGAAGCTGTATAATCTTCTTACTGACTTATGACCCAACATGAATTGGCTTTGTTTGTTATTTCTCTCAGGACAGAGATTGATTGGTATCCTGGAAAATGTTTAACTCAGAAGATCCTGAAGAAGAAGCCTAAGAAAGGTGCTAAGAATGCCAAGCCAATCACCAAAACTGAAGATTGTGAAAGCTTCTTCAACTTCTTCAATCCTCCCCAAGTTCCTGATGATGATGAAGAAATCGATGAGGACAGCGTACGTTATCATCTGGTTTTGAGTCATGCCTTATTTTGACTTTGTTTAACTAAACTTTGTACTAAGGTTTTTCTGTTCTTGGGTGCAGGCTGAGGAACTTCAGAATCTGATGGAACAAGATTATGACATTGGGTTCGTTTTCTTCTCAACATAAACTCTATGAATCTTTACATTTGAGTCTATGTATATATGGAAGCTCTAGTAATCATCCTTTATTGTAAAGTTGTACATTTCTGAAAATCTTGTTCAAGTATTCCGTGTTTTCTGCAGTTCTACAATCCGGGAGAAGATTATACCCCATGCTGTCTCATGGTTTACTGGTGAGGCTATTGAAGGAGAGGAGTTTGACATTGACAATGACGATGAAGATGATCTTGATGACGACGAAGATGAGGATGAAGAAGATGATGAGGATGAGGATGAGGAAGAAGATGATGACGAAGATGAGGAAGAAGAAGTACGCAAGACCAGAAAGAAGGTATTTGATTCCTCTTTTTTATTGAAGTAAGAAGAGTACCTTTTCTTTGTTTGATTACTAACTTTTCGAAATTGGTTGACATTTTTATGCAGCCGTCAGTCGTGCACAAGGTACATAATTATTTCCTCCCTCGTTATATTATTCGTCTTGAGTCAAAACCTATGAACCTATTAGTTATGATCCGACACCAATGAGTCAAAGAGCAGTCATAAACTATTTGGGAATTTAGGCTTGACCATGATCACAAAATGAGAGAACCTATCTATAATTAGGGATAGCTGAAACAACTGGTCAATCGCATTAATGCGCACGAATCTGTGAATCATAGAAACTCGAACACTTATCTGACTAAAGTTGCATTATAAGTAGACAGAACTGTTAAGAAACAAAGTTATCTAGAATCATCATCATGCATAATGTAAAGCTTAGACTAAATCTGGTATTTCAAATTAATGTGATGTGTTTGTGATAATGTGAGAGATTAAAATGTTCCTATGAAAATCAAATTGCAGAAAGGAGGCAGGGCTCAGCCTAACGATGGACAACAAGGGGAGAGGCCTCCTGAGTGCAAGCAACAGTAAAACAAAATCCAAAAATCGGCCGAAGGAGTGTTGTGGGTTTTGAGTGAAGTTCCAATGTAAGGCAAAATGTTTTGAGGTCTGGGCATTGAAGTTTCGACCTAGGCGGGATTGACCTCTCACTGGATATTTGATAAAATTATTTTTGGTGTTTCTTCTTTTTGTTTATTTGTATCACTGAGTTAAAAGTCTTGGTTTTATTATTTGTTTAAAATTTAAAAATATTTTTTTGGTTGGCATGTTTTGTTAAGAAACTATATTTATTACGTGATTTGGTTTCTATTTAAGTGTTTTTTAAAGAGAATATATGTATTACGTAGCAATTTTGGAAAAGAAAAAACTCATGTTCTCAGTATATATTCATGTAGGGTGTTGTCTGAATCTTTGTAATGATAATGATAATAGTCTATAAAGCTATGTTCTCACATGTCACAAAGTTAAAACAGGATTGAAAGTTCTTAACATTAAAATTGTAAAATCATTATCTTGTGAAAAATGTTACGTTAAGGAAAGTTATTTTCAGGCTCTTCATTTAAAAAGTGACTCGCGTGTAGAATATTTAGCATTTTAACTTGATATAATTCACGTTCCAGTTTTCTTAGAAGAGCTGACTTCTTACAAACAAGTCACGTAAAAGACCTATAATTAATTATCAGACATGATGATACACATTTACTTAGTTTAGATATATTAACCGATTTGATTCGGTATTTTAAATCTAAACTAAAAATAACCAAATAACCAAAAATAATCATATTACCTTATTTGATTCAGGTTCAGTTCTGATATATAGAATTTAAAAATATTTCATTAATTATATGATAACATATATAAAATATAACTTAAATTATAAAAAATAAAATATTAATTTATAAAAATGTAAAACTTAACACCCGCACGAATGTGCGGATCAATCTGTAAATTACTATTATTTTCGGTTCATTTTTAGAAGAGAATCTATCTATGGATTATATTAGATATGTGTCTTTATTAAACTTGTTTTTTTTAGGTCAAATTTTGTTTTAAACTCTTTTATAGAAAAATAAATCTTAAATTAATTATGGTGATATACATTTATTGGGCCACCCTTGTTACTCTTCGCCACCGTAAAATTAATTATGGTGATATATATTTACTGATACTCAGCTTGGCTTATACGAGTAGTAATGTTTTGACTTGTACTTGGTTTGTTAAAAATGAGTATTTGCAGTTTCAGAAACTTACAAAAAATTGACAGAATTGTAAGTTACTTGACTTGTTTTATTACTGTTACTTGTAAATTACTTACAAATTTATTCATAATTATTAGTAAATTATTTGATAGTTCATTAAAATTTGAAATTAAATAAATTTATTACATAAATAATATTTGATTATTTTATTGTATTTTAGTTATTCGGAAAATAGACTATATACGAATGAGAAAATTTCAAGATGCTTATATATAAATATAGCACTTATGTTTTATGTACTTATGAAAATTAAGATAGAAATGAGTTATTTTTCTATGATTTAAGAAAATGTATCTTTGTTCATTAACAAACATAACTAACAAACAAAATAACATCAAATACTTAATTTTATTCAATATTTAATATTTATTTTGTCAAATAGTTTAACTAGATTACTTGATATTTAATTTGACCAGAACAAATAATAATATTTAAAGATTATATACTTATCAAATAGCGAATAAGAGATAAATAACGAGTAATTGTGGTCACTAATAAAATGCAACACATAAATTTCAATTAACTAATAAAATGGATATCAAGTATTTAATAAACCAAATAATATATAACAAATAATAGGATATGTAAATGATAACAAGTAACAAACTAAGTAACAAACCAAGTAGTTAAAAATAAAAATGAACTTGATACTTGATTTGTACTTGCAAATAATAAAATTCGTTTACTTGTTACTCGACTTGATTATAAACAGTAATTTTTTTCAAACCGAACCGAGTCAAGTAACAAGTATAAATCCGATAGCAAACATTTGTGCTCAGTCCAAATGTTTAGTTATATATTAATATTTTAGATGAACACTAGAATATTAGTTGACATTTTCTGTAATATTTAGTGTTTCCAAAACCACTTGGCTACCTCCAATTATTTTTTTTTAAATAATTGGTGACCTGAAACCTTTGCTTCACGAGCTTTATAGAAGGAATGCACAGTCAAGAAAACAGGGTATTGTAAGTTGGAGTTATTCACGTTTTTTAAATGGAAATGATCTCTTGAAAGTATTTCGTATTAAATTAAAGATATAAATTAGTTATTTATTCTAGCTTCTCTAGTAAGCCAAGTGTGTTTGGTTACTAGAATAAGAATACTCTATCTCTTTATAACTCTTTGTAACGTTATTTTTGAGATCTAAGGAAAAAGTTTTTCCTTCTTTACTTTTTTCTCTCATCTCTCTTTTGTTCTTCAATCTCAAAACTTCACTTTCTTACATAGTATCAGAGCTTTAAGCTCTTGTATACCTATTTTGCTTCCGCGATTTAACTTTGATACTCTCTTTTATTTGATTTATCAATCTACTCCTCCTATTTTCTTTCCAGATCTATTATCTTTGTGGATAAGAAATCTGTGTTCTTGAGTTGTAAAATTTCAGTGATTGTTTCCTTGGCTTCTTTGTGTAACCAGTGGGTAATA